AAAATTTTTGTTTCTTAAATTTTCCTATTTATCAACTTACTGGGATTTCAATGTTTTGATTTTTTGATCGTTCAATTTCTAGATTTTTTTAATTTTTAGTTTTTGATACGATTTTTTTTCAAAAATTTTCAGTTTTTCAATTTATTAACTCTCCGATATTTCAGTTTTACGATTTTAAAATTTTTTTATTTTTCAGTTTTCAATTTTTGACGTTTCTAAATTTTTCGATTAACTGATTTTTTGATTTTCCCATTTCTATATTTCTTGATTTTTCAATTCTTTCTTCAATTGTGATTTTTCAATTTTTCGATTTCTGGATTTTTCGATGTTTCAGTTTTGGATTTTTTCATTTTTCCGATTCTTCAATTTTCTTTCCATTTTTCAGTTTTTCAAGATTTCAGTTTTGATTTTTTTCACTTTTTCGATTTTTCAATTTTCCTTCCATTTTTCAGTTTTTCAGTATTTCAGTTCTGAGATTTTGCAATGTTTCGGTTCTTCAATTTTTCCATTTTTTGATGTTTCGATTTCTCGGTTTTTCAACTTTTCGATATTTTAATTTTTCAGTTTTTAAAGTCTTAGGTTTTTAGATTTCTCACTATCTCGACTTTTCGATTTTTCAGTTCCATGATTTTTCAATTTGTCGAATTTTTAAATTTTAGATTTTTTGTTCTCGATCATTCAATTTTCTGGGTTTTCAGGCTTAGATTTTTTTGTTGTTCAATTCTTGGATTTTTAAAATTTTTGTTTTCTTAATTTTCCTATTTATCAACTTACTGGGATTTCAATGTTTTGATTTTTTGATTGTTCAATTTCTAGATTTTTTTAATTTTTAGTTTTTGATACGATTTTTTTTTTCAAAAATTTTCAGTTTTTCAATTTATTAACTTTCCGATATTTCAGTTTTACGATTTTAAAATTTTTTTATTTTTCAGTTTTCAATTTTTGACGTTTCTAAATTTTTCGATTAACTGATTTTTTGATTTTCCCATTTCTATATTTCTTGATTTTTCAATTCTTTCTTCAATTGTGATTTTTCAATTTTTCGATTTCTGGATTTTTCAATGTTTCAGTTTTGGATTTTTTCACTTTTCCGATTCTTCAATTTTCTTTCCATTTTTCAGTTTTTCAAGATTTCAGTTTTGAATTTTTTCACTTTTTCGATTTTTCAATTTTCCTTCCATTTTTCAGTTTTTCAGTATTTCAGTTCTGAGATTTTGCAATGTTTCGGTTCTTCAATTTTTCCATTTTTTGATGTTTCGATTTCTCGGTTTTTCAATTTTTCGATATTTTAATTTTTCAGTTTTTAAAGTCTTAGGTTTTTAGATTTCTCACTATCTCGACTTTTCGATTTTTCAGTTCCATGATTTTTCAATTTGTCGAATTTTTAAATTTTAGATTTTTTGTTCTCGATCATTCAATTTTCTGGGTTTTCAGGCTTAGATTTTTTTTGTTGTTCAATTCTTGGATTTTTAAAATTTTTGTTTTTTAAATTTTACTATTTATCAACTTACTGGGATTTCAATGTTTTGATTTTTTGATTCTTCAATTTCTCGATTTTTTTAATTTTTAGTTTTTGATACGATTTTTTTTTCAAAAATTTTCAGTTTTTCAATTTATTAACTTTCCGATATTTCAGTTTTACGATTTTTAATTTTTTTTATTTTTCAGTTTTCAATTTTTGACGTTTCTAAATTTTTCGATTAACTGATTTTTTGATTTTCCCATTTCTCTATTTCTTGATTTTTCAATTCTTTCTTCAACTGTGATTTTTCAATTTTTCGATTTCTGGATTTTTCAGTGTTTCAGTTTTGGATTTTTTCATTTTTCCGATTCTTCAATTTTCTTTCCATTTTTCAGTTTTTCAAGATGTCAGTTTTGATTTTTTTCACTTTTTCGATTTTTCAATTTTCCTTCCATTTTTCAGTTTTTCAGTATTTCAGTTCTGAGATTTTGCAATGTTTCGGTTCTTCAATTTTTCCATTTTTTGATGTTTCGATTTCTCGGTTTTTCAATTTTTCGATATTTTAATTTTTCAGTTTTTAAAGTCTTAGGTTTTTAGATTTCTCACTATCTCGACTTTTCGATTTTTCAGTTCCATGATTTTTCAATTTGTCGAATTTTTAAATTTTAGATTTTTTGTTCTCGATCATTCAATTTTCTGGGTTTTCAGGCTTAGATTTATTTTGTTGTTCAATTCTTGGATTTTTAAAATTTTTGTTTTTTAAATTTTCCTATTTATCAACTTACTGGAATTTCAATGTTTTGATTTTTTGATTGTTCAATTTCTCGATTTTTTTAATTTTTAGTTTTTGATACGACTTTTTTTTCAAAAATTTTCAGTTTTTCAATTTATTAACTCTCCGATATTTCAGTTTTACGATTTTTAATTTTTTTTATTTTTCAGTTTTCAATTTTTGACGTTTCTAAATTTTTCGATTAACTGATTTTTTGATTTTCCCATTTCTATATTTCTTGATTTTTCAATTCTTTCTTCAATTGTGATTTTTCAATTTTTCGATTTCTGGATTTTTCAATGTTTCAGTTTTGGATTTTTTCACTTTTCCGATTCTTCAATTTTCCTTCCATTTTTCAGTTTTTCAGTATTTCAGTTCTGAGATTTTGCAATGTTTCGGTTCTTCAATTTTTCCATTTTTTGATGTTTCGATTCCTCGGTTTTTCAATTTTTCGATAGGTATTTTGTTTTTTCAATTTTTAAGTTCTAGATTTTCCGTTAATTTTTTTGTTTTCCTTGATATTTTGATTTCTCGATTATTCGATTTTTCAAGTTCTCGGTTTAGATTTTTTGGTTTTCCAATTCTTCGATTTTTAAAGCTAATCAACTAATAGATGGGCTTGATAAGCCTTGTTTGCACCACAGAAAATTAATATTAATTTTAATATTCGAGTTAATTATTATATTATTCAAACACAATTTAGACACTGTAGAACAAACAAGGATTATCAAGCCCGTCTATTAGTTTATTCGCCTAAATGTATTATTAATACCGTTTTAAAATTACACCAAAATTGAAAAATCGAAAACTTAATAATTGAAAAATTGAAACATTTTAAATGAAAAAAATCGGTAAACCGAAAAATTCAACATCTATAAATCGAGAAATTGAAGAATCTAAAAATTAAACAATTAAAAAATTGAAGAATTGGAAAACCAAAAAATCTAATCCGAGAACTTGAAAAATCGAATAATAATAAATTTGCGCATTCATTAAATTTTTTGAGTCACGCTGTATATCCGAATCCAAAAAATATGAATGGAATGATAAATTACAGGAAGAGACTCATCATATATTGTAAATTTTAAATAGGATTATACGGTAAACTTTTGAGCTGACGTCATCAATTTTTTGTCTCCCGAAGAAACGGTTAGAAAAAAAATAATCAAATTTTGCACATTGACAGACAGAGAATTGAAACTAAAAAAAAATCATGATTACTACTTTCAAGTCCAGGGACAAATGCTTGTTACGGGTATTTCACAAGTTTATTTTGTTGTATGGACACCCAAAAGAATAAATATAGAAAAAATTTATAAAGATGAAGAAATATATGTAAAAAGATGGCAGATAAACTTGACAGATTTTACTTTGGCGCATTATTGCCCGAAATAATTGATTCAAGAAGAAAGAGGAACCTGCCTTTGCGAGAGAATTTTTTAAAATAAATAAAATTTGTTTCTATTTTTTGTATGTACTTTAATAATTTATTAGGAGTACATTTTTCATCACCAAGACTTGCATATTTTTATTATAAATATATTTTGAAAGTGATCTCTCGGCAAATGAAAACATATACGAGCACTTTTTTCGAGTAAACAATGAAGGGAGAAGTTACTGGGCGTAGGGCGTTTTTAAAACACCTCCTTTCTGGGATAATTAGTAGATACACTTAGCTACTTATACGTGTTAAACAAAAGCTGTATTTTATATATTTTTTATTATTATTATAAATATGTTTATTAGTTTTATTAATTAACAAAGCAAAATATATATTAACAATAATATTATAATGAATTTTTAGTAATCATGTGTATTGAATTCAGGATCCTGAGTGGAGTAAAAATATTATAGTTCTCCAGTTTTAATTCGGTTTTATGATAGTACCTCATTGCGTAAAAGTTAATTTCCTTAACAATAGATTACTACGACCGGTCCTGGCGGCTTGTTATAAAACTGAGTTCCTTGCCATAAATTAGAAAAATCAGCCGAGAACTCTAACAATCAGCTTATGGTAGAGGAGGCGATAAGGGTTTTACCTGGAAAGTCGTTTCCGTAAATTTTAGTGGCGCTCCTATCGGCAAAGTACTGAACTAACTGCTCAAATTCTGTCGAATTGATACCCATTTTTTTCAGTAATTGTTAGTTTTTGTTAAAAACTCTGCTAACCAATAGGTTATTAATTTTTCTCTGATATTCCTGTTAAAATTATTCGACGTATTTTGCATTAATTTGTAGTATATTTTGATTTTAATAAACACATTATTATTTAAACAAATTGTACCACTAACAAACATTTAATGACTCTGCGCCCTGTAAAAAGTGATGTTTTATCCATGTGCGAATTTTCAAGCGATTCTGTGATGATTATGACTCAAAAAACTTGAAAAGAAAACATACAATGGTGCTTTTTTTACGATATTTCTCAGCCATATTTTTTTAGTTGATTGAACTGGTCTCTGCGCTCTAGAATATGAGAAAAGCTGCAGTTTGATGTATGATACATCTATATTAATGTCATTTTTTCATACAAAAAAACCAAAAAAATGTTATACCTCGTCTAGCGAGTCCCCTTAAATGGTTAGTTGTGAATTCTGACCAAATCTTGAGCAAATCGGCCTATTTTTAGATTTTAATCCTACCGACTGCGCCACTTTCGCAACCCTTTGATTTTCGATTTTTCCAGAAATTGGGTGTATATTGACGTGGCGCACCACCTGACACGTTCCCCTTCCCCAGTCAGTAATTAAATTTCTCTCTACTTACGTTTCTCCATTAATATAAACCCGATTCTGCAAGTGAACGATATCATGGCGAACGTCGGCAAGTAGAAGGAACAGGAAGTCAAATGAGCCCCTTTCGCCCTTTGGCCCTCTTAGGCCTCTTTCTCCCTGCTCACCTTTGGGTCCTTGCGGCCCTCTCGCACCCGGTTCGCCCTACGATAACAGTGCGGTGTACAGACATGGAAATTGAATTCTGCCAATAAATAACTTACTTGAGCTCCACGTTTGCAACGACATTGGGCATTCTCGTCCCCAGGCAGGGGCACAAAAGCGTCCAACATCGAATATGTGTAATCCTGTTGATTGCTGTTTGTTGACAGCGAGGCAGAGCCGCCCTCAGGACCTGCATAAAATTTAATTACTGAGTGTTTGATGTCTGCGGGGCGAAGTGCAGCGGAATTTTTGAGAGTTAGATTAAATGGTCGGTGTTTAATAGTGTTTATAATATTTGTCAGGTTTGGTGGGTGGCAGTCAACAAGCTGACTGAAATATAGAGCGGAAATGGAATTGTACAATTTAGAAAAAACTTAACACAAACGGTCTTACAAACAAAATAAATAAAAATTTGTAAATTTTTTAACAAGGACAATGAAGACGATACAAAAGGAAAAAACGCGACAAAATACGGAAAATAAGATGATTTAAAAAGGGATCAAAAACGCGATTTAAAAAGGGAGTAAAAGAATGATAAAAAAAGACCGCAGAAAAGAGCTACCAAAAAATTCGACAACAATGGAGACGAAAAAGCGATGAAAAACTGACTAAAAGCGGCGACTAAAAAGACAACAAAAAGTACCCAAAAAAAGGAAACAAAACAGAGCACAGATAAAAGGCGTAAAGAGACCACAAAGAAAATGTACAAAAAAGGAGATAAAATAAAATCAACAAAAATACAAAAAAAGGGACAAAAAGGAAAGAGAAAGACACAACAAATCTTAAATCGTCAAAAAAAAGAAAAAAGTGATGGCTACTAAAAAATGCGACGAAAATGTAATAAAAAAAAGGGGAAAAATGTCGACTCAAAAGCAACAAAACAAAATGACGAAAAATAAAAAGTGGAAAAAGACAATAATCAAAAGCGAAAAAAATGTCAAAAAAATCAATAAAAAAGCGATATAAAAGAGCAGAGCAGAGAGTGCGACAATAAAAGCAATAAAAAAAGAGTGATCAAAATTAAGCTAAAAAGAAAATTTATTTTATTTTATTTATTTTATTTATTTTATTTATTTTATTTATTTTATTTATTTTATTTATTTTATTTATTTTATTTATTTTATTTATTTTATTTATTTTATTTATTTTATTTATTTTATTTATTTTATTTATTTTATTTATTTTATTTATTTTATTTATTTTATTTATTTTATTTATTTTATTTATTTTATTTATTTTATTTATTTTATTTATTTTATTTATTTTATTTATTTTATTTATTTTATTTATTTTATTTATTTTATTTATTTTATTTATTTTATTTATTTTATTTATTTTATTTATTTTATTTATTTTATTTATTTTATTTATTTTATTTATTTTATTTATTTTATTTATTTTATTTATTTTATTTATTTTATTTTATTCTATTATGTCTCCAACAGACCGGAGACCCAATTACAGGAGACACAACAAAAAAGACCACTGAAAGAAACGAAAAGTGACAAAAAACGCTGAGGGGAGAAAGTTACAAAAAAGTCTAAAAAAAGGCAACAAACACGTCACAAAAATAAAATTAAAAAAAGGCGACTGAAAAAGCAAAGAAAAAATGACCAAAAAAAGCGACGAAAAAAAAAGGTGAAAAAAAAATTACAAAAAAAGCTACAAAAAAGGCAAGTAAGAAAATGAGTCAATAAATAAGGAAGACGAAAAAAGCGAAAAAAAGACGACTGAAAGAAGTGATACAAAAGTGACAAAAAAACGGAGCCTAAAAAATCAACAAAAAGTGTCCAAAAAAAGGAAACAAAAGTGAGATAAAAGGCGAAAAAAGACCAAAGAAAATGTCGAAAAAAGGGGATAAAATAAAATCTACAAAATAGGGACAAAAAGAAAGACAACAAATCAAAAAAAAATCGTCAAAAAAAAAGAAAAAAGGAACAAAAAAGTGTTGGCTACTAAAAAATGCGATGAAAATAAAAAGAAAAAAAACGAAAAAACGGCGACTTAACTGCAATAAAACAAAATTACCGTAAAAAGGACGAAAAATAAAAGGTGGAAAAAGAGAATAAAAAAAGTGAAAAAAATGACACAAAAAATCGATAAAAAAGCAATAGGAAAGACCACAGTAGAAAATGCAATAAAAAAAGAGCGATAAAAGTAAATCTACAAAGAAAATCGTAGGAAAACGGCAAAAAACACAAAAAAGTGGAAAAAAAAGACTGCTGAAAGAAATGAAAAGTCACAAAAAAACGCTAAGTGAAGAAAGTTACAAAAATGCCTCAAAAATGATATAAAAAAAAAAAACAGAAAATGGTGACTGAAAAAGCAACAAAAAGATTACCAACAAAGCGACGAAAAAAAAAGTGAAAAAAAAAACAAAAAATTAGACAATAATTAAAGTATTGAAAAAAGAGAAAAAAGAAGCATAAACAAGTGTCATAAAAATCATAAAAAAGACCGATAAAAATAACGATACAAATTAAATCCAAAAAAAGAACGTCAAAAAAGACGACTGGGAAACACAAAAAGTGACAAAAAAAACTGAGTGAAAAAAGCAACTGACAAAAAAAACGAAAAAGGGTCATTAAAAAACGCCAAAAACGTCCACAAAAAGGCTACAAAAAAGGAAAAGAGGAAAAATAATCTACCAAAAAAGGTGAGAAAACGGCGACTGAAAGTAAATGAAAAATGGGTAAAGAAAGAAAACTCAAAAAAACTAAAAAAAATGAAGGGCATAGGGCGATAGAAAAGAAAACAGGAGAAAATACGACAAAAATGGGGAAAAAATTATAATAAAAGAAGTGACAAAGAAAAGCCAAAAAAAGAGTGACTGAAAAAAAACGTTAAAGAATCACAAAATGGCGACTGAAAAAGCAACAAAAAAAGTGATCAAGGAAACGCCAAAAATGTCAAGGAAGAAAAAAGGCTAAAAGAAGACGACAATTAAAAGGCCAAAAAAATCACAAAAAATAGCGAGAAAAGGGCATAGAATAATACAAAAAAAATCGCAAAAAGCTACAAAAGAGAGACAAAGACAAACAAAAAACAATAAAGCTTCAAAAAATGTACAAAAAAAACGACAAAAATCCGTTTAAATGGCCACAAAGGGAAAAGAAAAACCCATAAAAAAAGCTACTAGAAAATGGAACGAAATTGAAATAAAAAGAAACGAAAAAGTGGTGACAAAAAAACGGAAAAAATGTAAAAAAAACAGTGCTTGAAAATTCAACATAAAACACGAAAGGAGCAAAAAAAGAGCACAAAAAAGACGACAAATAAAAAGTGAAAAAAGGCCACTAAGAAATAGCGAAAAAAAACTTTAACCCAAAAGACGCGATAAAAATAAATTGGGGAAGCAAAGCGACGAAAAATGTGACAAGAATGAAATAAGAAAACAAAAAAAAGCGACTGAAAAACATTGAAAAATAGAAACCGAAAAAAGACGAGAAAAAAGATGACACAAAATATTACAGAAGAAAATGCGATAAAAAGAGCGACTGAAAAAATGCAAAAGTGACCAAAAAAATGGAAAAAGTGAAACAAATTAGGGGCAAAAAAGACGTAGAAAAAACCCCAGAAAAAAGACGACGAAAAAAAGGGCCATAAAGAAAATGGCAAAAAGAGGTCAAATAAACACGCTATAAAAAAATCACAGAAAACGCTACAGATAAAAATGCACAAAAGTTAGAAAAACAAAAAAAAGTGATAAAGAACGACAAAAAGGGCCAAAAAAGACAAAAAAAGCTAAAAAAGGAAAACGTGGGAAAAATAAGATTAAAAAAGTGACAACGAAAAGCCACAAAAAGGAACGATTAAAATAAGACGACACAGAAAAACAACAAAAATGTCAAAAACGCAAAAAATTCACAAAAAGATACAAAAAAGGTCAGAAGAAAATGACAATTAAACGTCGAAAAAATCACAAACAAAATGGCGAAGAAACGGCGTAAAACAGTTAAAAAGAGCACTACAAAAAAGCAACAAAAAAAGGGAAAAAAAGATGATAGAAAATACCACAGAAGAAAATCACATAGAAGAAGAAAAGTGACAAAAAACAACGACGGAAGAAAGCAATACAAAATTGATAAAGAAAAGAAAAAAAAGTGACGCAAAAAGACGACATGAAAAACACCATAAAAAAGACGACAAATAGAAGGAAAAAAAAGACCACAAAGAAATAGCGAAAAAAAGGATTACAATTAAAAAAATGCTACAAAAAAGCGACAGAAATAAGAGAGAACGGGAAACAAAAATTCTAAAAATTTGTAAAAAACAACAAAACAATCACAAAGAGTAAAGGCTACAAAAAGCAAAAAAATTCCATAAAAGAAACTACGAAAAATGCGACAAAAATGAAATGAATAAGGCGAAAAATGTGACTGAAACACATGGAAAAATAAAAATTGAAAAATGACGAGAAAAGAGATGACAGAAAAGATCACAGGAGGAAATGCGATAAAAAGAGCGACTGAAAAAAGCAAAAGTAACCAGAAAAATGGAAAAAAATGACACAAAAGACAAAAAAGGCCACAAAGAAAATGGCAAAAAAGAGTTAAAAAAGGTTTAAAAACGCTACAAAAATAAGACAGAAATAAAGGCGACAGAGAGGATCAGAGAAAATGCTACAGATAAAAAAACGACAAAAAAAGCTAAAAAAAGAAGAATATAAAAATAAATGCGTCAAAAACGTGGGAAAAATACGAACAAAAACTGACAAAGAAAAGCCACCAAAAAGAACGATTAAACAAGGCGACAAAGAAAAACGACAACAAAAATGGCAAAAAAAAAACGAAAAAATTGACAAAAAGATACAAAAAGGTCACAAGATGACGATAATTTAACGTCGAAAAAAACACAAAGAAAATGGAGAAAAAACGGCGTAATATAATACAAAAAAAATGTCACAAAAAAGCTACAAAAAAATAGAGAGAGACAAACGAACAATATGTCGTAAATAAAGTATTATTATTATTGTTAAAAAAAAATATATCAAAATAGTGATGAAGAATAAAGGCCAAAATAAAAGGGGCATAAAAATTCGGCGGCAAAGGAAAACGTCAAAAAATGCACAAAAATGGTTACAAAAAAAAAATCCTTAAAAAAATCTACCAGAAAATGTGACGAAAATTAAATAAAAAAAGCAAAAAGTGATTACTAAAAAAAAGAAAAAATGTAATAGAAAAACTGCGACTGAAAAACAACAAAAAGACGAAAGGAGCAGACAAAATGTTAAAACAAGCATTACAAAGAAACGACAAAAAAAGGATAAAAAAATTCAGAAGGGGCCACAGAAGAAGAAAAGCGACAAAAAACAACGACGGAAAAAAGTAATGCAAATGTGACAAAGAAAAGAGAAAAAAGGAACAAAAAAGGATAAAGAGGCGACACATAAAAGGTAAAAAAGGCCACAAAAAATAACATAAAAAAGGATTAAGATGAAAAAATGCAATAAAAAAGCAACAGAAATAAGAGAGAACGACAAAAAAAATTGAAAAATTAGGAAAAACGCAATAAAAAATTACAAAATGTAATGTAACTCCATAACAGAAACTACAAAAAAATGTGATAAAAATGAAATGAAAAAAGTAAAAAAAAACAAGAGAAAAAGACGATAAAAAAGTGATAAAAGAACTGCGAAAACCGAAAAATAAGGTAAAAAAACGCTACTTAAAAACTACAAAAATAAGGCAGAAAAAAAGGTTACAGAAAATAATAAAATAATAATAATAATAATAATAACGATAAAAAAGCTTTTAAAAAACGCAAAAAAGTTCATAAAGGCAACAAAAAAAGATGAAAAAAGCCATAAAAAATTCCCTAAGTAAATTGGATAAAAAAGGCGACAGAAAAAAGACAAAAAAAAAAAGCCGACAAAAAGGCCACAAAAAAATGCGACAAGAAGAAACACCTAAGATAGAAAAACATGAAAAAATGAAGCGATAAAAAGTGTGAGAAAGAAAGCGACAAAAAAAGAGGCAAATCGAAGTAAAAGAAAAGAGACAGAAGGCGATAAAGAAAGGTGACATAAAAAGACGAAAAAAGCTGAAGAAAAGGGGACAAAATGGTCCAAAATAAACGCCACAAAAAGAGACAAAAAACGATTAGGAAAAATGCTAGAAACTAAGATGACGTTATCAAGTTTTTGAAAACAATCAACAAAAAAATTTTGATCGGCGATTTACCATCTTTACGATAGCCTTTTTAACATTTACCACATTTCAGAACTGTCGCCTTTACAGTTTCTAAGTTAAATTGTCAAATGTTGTTTTACAACATTGATCTTTAATCCAAAAACCCGGACAATGTAAAAGCTTTGGTGGATTTGCAAAAACCATAATTTACAAAATTACCCATGTATCATGACATAATAAATTTTTAAATTAATTAGAACTTTCTGGCGCCCACCTCCTCCCCACATCCCCGAACTCCCCACTCACCTGGAAATCCCCTGGGCCCCTGCGGCCCGGTCGGCCCCGGCGCCCCCGGCGGCCCCGGCGGCCCCGAGGCGAAGCTCGACATCCTAATTGCCGTGCTTAAACTCGAAACCTGAAACAATCCTCATCATCAAGCCCCCTCCCGAAAAAAAGCTAAAACTCCCGTGATACAATTTTAATGAGCCAACTTCGCTCTGCAAAACCTGCTCCCTAAGCCTTTCCTGTCGGAAAAAGTTAAAACCTTTAAGCAGATTAGCGTACCTTCTCCTGCAGCGATTTGAGCTTGTCGTGGAGTCGCACCACCGTGTCGCAGTTGGCGTAGCAGCGATTCGCGTGTCCCGCCGCCTCCGCCCCGGAGACGGCGTCCGCCGGCTCGCACGTCCTGTTGTCCGGCCGCAGGACGTAGCCGGGCCTGCAGGAGCACCGGTAGCCGCCGGACTCGTTGACGCACTCGTGCTCGCAGTCGCCGTTGCGATCCAGGCACTCGTTCACGTCTGAAAGGGGGACGGGTCTATTAGGGTCTTTTACGAGAGATGGTAAAGTGGCGGATGGGGTGGTGTTTGCTTTTACCCTCACCTGGCAGGAGGGTGTAAAATTTACGAGTCGGGCCGTGATTTTTTTCTCAGGGAAAGGGGTTAGATTGAAGTCGGGATGATTTTTAGGAGGCGAAAGAGGATTTATAAGGAGGGCGGTTTATCCGCTGGAAGAAAGTTGGGGGAGGGTTTTTGGCAAATTATAGGGATAAGGTATTTTCGAAATTAAAAAAGCGTGCTTTCGATCCACGGCAAAGACAAGTGAGGGAAAAGGGAAAAGTAGGCTCCAATTCCCTTCCAACACCAAGTTAAGGAATTTCACTCAAAAGCTAGCACTTAGTTGTTCTAACCTAGCAACACTACCACCATTATTAATCTCATAGCTAGCTAGCACTAGAGTGCCTTTGCGTTTTAGAACAGGAATAAAATTAAATTCAACTAAAAGATCATGTTCGTACCCTCTGGGCAGATAAACTTTATGAGCTTTTAAGAATAAATATTTTAAGAATCTACGTTGGACGTTCTCAATCATGACATTGTAGGTTTGATATATAGAATACCACACAAAGGAATCATATCCAAGTTTGTTTAAGACAAAAGCTCTATTCAAGTTTATGAGGCACTAAATATTATAAAAAGATTTCCCATTTCGCGTAATAAAACCCAGCATTTGATTACAGAATGAAATAAGGTTATTGTAATGTTGATCAAATCAGAAAGAATTATCAAAGTATATACCTAATTCTGTAACAGTTTCATAGCGCGGAAGAAAGCTCTGATCAAATTTATAATCATAAACGATAACACTTAATTTAAACTTATTGTTTAGCGCTTTTTTTACTTTCTTCACATCCTAGATTCTATTGTTTTCCACCCATTCGACAGAAGAATATAATTAGCCCCGCCCACCCACCCGCTTTCCATTTCGCTGCTTGATTTTATTTGTTCTGAATGAAGTGAATGGTTTTATACTAAATAAAGGTAAAATTAGTCGTTACAATGAGTATTTTGTAAGTTAAGGCTGATTTTGGCAAATGGCATACCTTCCAAAAAAATAGAGGGCGGGTGGGCGGAGCAGCTACTTGCTAAGATAAGACTGATTTTGGCAAATAACATACCTTCTAAAAAAATAGAGGGTGGGTGGGCGGGGCTAGCATTTTATAGTGATCAAATTAAGTATTTGCATATGCATGTTTTAAATACTTAGCTGCATATTTTTAATAAAGTGGTGCATATTCTTCGCAAAAATGTATGCATATTATGTGAATATTTCTTCGATATTTTGATTCGTACAAACCCAGCCTTAATTATAACTTAACTTCAAACTATGGAAATGAAAATTCACACAGGGAAATCTTGAGCTATAGAAGAAATCAGTGTAAAAATTTGGACTACGGTATACCAGTCATTAAACTTAACTGAATAAAACATCTCTGTTGAAATCAAATGAAAGTATATTTGAACAAAAATAAAATTGATTTAGTTATACTTATTTACAATGGTATTACGAAATTACAAACGAATAACAATTAAGCAATTAACGATCAACGAATAAAATCTCTCTCATTCCTAAACTCCTACTTTCTCTAGAAGTACCCCGTTCTTCTAAAATTTTCCTTTTTATTTTACGTTGCTCTTTTTTAAGATATATTCTGGTCCAAAATAAAGAAAACATTTTAAAAATTTGTGGTTTAATATTATGACAAACTGGCAATTTAAAACTTACAATTTGGTGACCAAATTTCATTTTATGTAAATAAAATGACTAACACTTGCTAAGATAAGATTGATTTTGGCAAATGATGTACCCTCTAGGAAAATAGAGGGCGGGTGGGCGGTGCTAATATTTGCTAAAATAAGACTGATTTTGGCGAATATCATATCCTCTAAGAAAATAGAGGGCGGGGATAATATTTGCTAAGATAAGACTCATTTTGGCAAATGATATAACCTCTAAGAAAATAGTGGGTGGGTGGGCGGGGCTAATACTTGCCAAGGTAAGCATGATTTTGGCGAATGTCATATCCTCTAAAAGAATAGGGGACGGGGATATTACTTGCTAACATAAGACTCATTTTGGCAAATGATATAACCTCTAAGAAAATAGTGGGTGGGTGGGGGGGGGCTAATACTTGCCAAGATAAGACTGATTTTGGCGAATGTCATATCCTCTAAGAAAATAGAGGGCGGGGCTAGTACTTGCTAAGAAAAAAACTGACTTCAATATGTACTCTTTAAGAAAAGAGAGGGTGGATGGACGGGGCTAGCATTTTATAGTAATCAAATCAATTTTATTAGCATATGCATCTTTTGCATACTTAGCTGCATATTTTTAATAAAGTGGTGCATATTTTGACCAGAAATGTGTGCACATTATGTGCATATTTCTTCGATATTTTGATTCCTGCAATCCGAATCCGAACCTTAATTATGACTTGACTTCAATCTATGGAAATGTTTTGATAATGGCCTAAGAAAATAGGAGAAAATTTACGAAGGGAAATCTCGAGTTATAGAGGAAATCAGTGTACAAAATTTGGACTACAATATACCACTCAGTAAACATAACTGAATTAAACATCTGTTGATTAAAAATGAAAGTATAACAATTAAGTAATTAACGATTAACGAACAAAGCATTTCTCATGCCTAAACTCCTACTTTTTTTAAAAGCACCTCGTTCTCCTAAAATTTTCCTTTTTATTTTACATTGGTCTTTCTTAAGATATATTCTAACCCGAAATAAATACATTTTACAAATTTGTAGTTTAATATTATGACAAACTGGCAATTTAAAACAATTTGGAGATCAAGTTTCACGTCATGTAAATACAATTATTAGTACTTACTAAGATGATGTACCCTCTAAGAAAATAAAGGGTGGGTGGTCGGGGGTAGTACTTGATAAGATAAGAATGATTTTGGCAAATGATATATTCTCTAAGAAAACAGAGGGCGGGTGGGCGGGGCTAGTACTTGCTAAGATGAAACAGATTTTGGCAAATGAAATACCCTCTAAGAAAATAGAGGACGGGGTTAGTACTTGCTAAGATAAGACTGATTTTGGCAAATGATATATCCTCTAAGAAAATAAAGGGAGGGTGGGCGGGGCTAGTACTTGTTAAGATAAGACTGATTTTAGCAAATGTCATATCCTTTAAGAAAATAGAGAGCAGGTGGGCGGGGCCAGTACTTGCTAAGATAAGACTGATTTTGGCGAATGATATACCTTCTAAAAAAATAAATGCGACAAAAAAGTGGGAAAATAAAAATAAAAATGTGACAACTAAAAGCCACAAAAAAGAACGATTAAAATAAAGCGATAAAGAGAAATTACAACAAAAATGGCAAAAAAAGCGAAAAAATTAATAAAAAGATACATAATAGTTTAGAAGACGAGAATTAAACCTCGAAAAAACCACAAAGAAAATGGCTAATAATACAAAAGTGTCACAAAAAAGCCACAAAAAAATAGAGAGAGACAAACGAATAATATCAAATTAGTGATAAAGAATAAAGGCAACAATAAAAGGGCGGCAAATATTAGGTGACAAAGAAAAACGACAAAAAGACCACAAAAATGGCGACAAAAGAAAAAGAAAATAAAATCCATAAAAAAAATCTAACAGAAAATGAAATAAAAAAGGAAAAAGTGGTTAGTAAAAAAAAGTTGTAATAAAAAACTGCGCCTGAAAAAACAAAAAAAAAAGACGAAAGAATAAACAAAAAACTAAAAAGAGCACTACAAAATTGCGACAAAAAAAGAAAAAAAGAAACAACCACGGAAAAAAGCAATACAAAAGAGACAAAGAAGAAAGAGAAAAGTGAGAAAAACGTATAAAAAAGGCGACATATAAAACAAAACAAGTCGACAAACAAAAGGTAAAAAAGGCCACAAAGAAACAGCGAAAAAAAGGATTAAAGTTAAAAAATGATACAAAAATGCCACAGAAAAAAGCGAGAACGAGAAACAAAAAAACGAAAAATTAGGAAAAAACAATAATAATAAATAATAATAAATAAATATGATTTATTTGCCCAACAGAAATAATTCCATTTACAGGACAAATCAATTAGGTACACCTCTTAATCTGTAACACATCACAATAAAGAAAAATATAAATTCTTTGAATACATCCCAAAGCTACACTTCGCAAATGTAATTACCCAATAAAATTATATTAACCTAATTTTAACTCAAATATTAAACGTTTCATCCTGCGTAAACTATAACAAAAAAATACAAAGAATAAAGCCCACAAAAAGCACAAAAAGTCCATAAACTAAGTAACTATCAAAAAATGTGACAAAAATAAAATAAAAAAAGCGAAGAAGGCGACTGAAAAAGACTGTAAAACAGTGATAAAAAAACTGCTACTGAGAGAGCAGCAAAAAAGTGACCACAACAGACAATGAAAAATAAAAACCGACAAAAAACGAGAAAAGAAAGGACAGAAAAGACCACAGAAGGAAAAAGTGACAAAAAAAGGTGACAAATGAGGTAAAGAAAAATGCTTCTTAAGAGTAACAAAAATAAGGCAGGAAAAAAGGCTACAAAGAAGATCAGAGAACATACGCGAGATAAAAAGGCTATAGAAGATGGAAAAAAAAGGACAAAAAAGGGTTGGTGGGCGGGGCTAGTACTTGCTGAGATAAGACTGATTTTGGTCAATGAAATATCTTCTAAGTAAATAAAGGCGACAGAAACGTGGGAAAATAAAAATTAAAAAGTGACAACTAAAAACCACAAAAAAGAATGATTAAAATAAGGCGACAAAGAAAAACGACAACAAAAATGGCAAAAAAACGAAAAAATTGACAAAGAGATACATAATAGGTCAGAAGAAGACGACAATTAAACGTCGAAAAAGCCACAAAGAAAATGGCAAAAAAACAGCGTAAAATAATACAAAAAAGTATCACAAGAAAGCCACTAAAAAAATACAGAGAGACAAACGAATAATATCAAAACAGTGACAAAGAATAAAGGCAACAATGAAAGGGCGGCAAATATTAGGTGACAAAGAAAAACGACAAAAAGACCACAAAAATAGCGACAAAAGTAAAAGAAAATACAATCCATAAAAAAAATCTACCAGAAAATGTGACGAAAATGAAATAAAAAAGGAAAAAGTGGTTAGTAAAAAAAGTTGTAATAAAAAACTGCGACTGAAAAAACAAAAAAAAGACGAAAGAAGAAGACAAAAACAAAAAAGAGCACTACAAAAATTTGACAAAAAAAAAGAGAAAAAGAAACAACCACGGAAAAAAACAATACATAAGTGACAAAGAAAACAGAAAAAACTGACGAAAAACTGATAAAAAGGGCGACATAAAAAACACAACAAGACGACAAATAAAAGCTAAAAAAAGGCCACAAAGAAACAACGAAAAAAGGATTAAAGTTAAAAAATGATACAAAAATGCGACAGAAAAAAGAGAGATAGAGAAACAAAAAATCGAAAAATTAGGAAAAAAGCAATAAAAGAATAAAAAGAATAAAGTCCACAAAAAGCACAAAAAAGTCCATAAACTAAGTAACTATCAAAAAATGTGACAAAAATGAAATGAAAAAAGCGAAGAAGGCGACTGAAAAAGACAATAAAAAAATGATGAAAACTGCCACTGAGAGCAGCAAAAAAGTGACCCCAAGAGGCAATGAAAAATAAAAGGCCACAAAAGACGAGAAAAAAAATGACAGAAAAGACCACACAAGAAAAAAGCGACAAATAAGGTAAATAAAAACGCTTTTTAAGAGCAAGAAAAATAACGCAGGAAAAAAAGGCTGCAGAAAAGATCAGAGAACATACGCGAGATAAAAAGGCGATAGAATATGAAAAAAAAGAACAAAAAGGGTGGGTGGGCGGGGTTAGTACTTGCTAAGCTGAGACTGATTTTGGCAAATAATATACCCTCTAAGAAAATAGAGGGCGGGTGGGTGGGGCTAGTACTTGCTAACACAAGACTGGTGAGTTTTTAAATCAAATAATTTTATCAGGAATTACCTTTTTATATATGGGGCGGATGGGCGGGGCTAGTATTTGTCAAAATAAGACTGATCAGGTAAATGACCTGCTTTCTAAGAAAATAAAGGGAGTATGGGCGGGGCTAGTATTTGCTAAGATAAAACTGATATTACCAAATGGCATACCCTCTAAAAATAAAATAGTACTTGCTAATATAAGAGTGATTTTGCAGATGCCATATCCCTAAGAAAATATAGGGTGGGTGGGCGGGACTAGTACTTGCTAAGATAAGACTGATTTTGGCAAATGAAATACCCTCTAAGAAAATAAAGGATGGGGTTAGTACTTGCTAAGATAAGACTGATTTTGCAAATGTCATATGTTTTAAGCATATAGAGGGCGGTGGGCGGGCCTAGTACTTGCTAAATTAAAACTGATTTTGGCAAATGATATACCCTCTAAGAAAACAGAGGGCGGGTGGTTGGGCCTAGTACTTGCTAAGACAAGACTGATTTTGGCAAATGAAATACCTTCTAAGAAAATAAAGGTCGGGACTAGTACTTGCTAAGATGAGACTGATTTTGGCAAATGATATACCCTCTAAGAAAATAGAGGGCAAGTGGGCGAGGCTAGTACTTGTTAAGATAAGACTGGTGAGTTTTTAAATTAAATAATTTTGTCAGGAATTACCTTTTTAAAATGTTCAAAAATTTTTTCCGCAGTTGAAAACAAATGAAACACAAGTTCTGTCGGATATATTAGTGAATTAACTTTAAATTCTCTTAAATAATCAAATCTCGTATGAGGGCTAGACAATTTCTTGGTAATAATTGCTTGTAGACCATTAACACACTTTAAATTTCGCTTAATTCTTGCCAAAATATAGCCAGCAACATTATACGCATAGATATTTCTGGTGAGAACACAGTGGTTGTAACTACTCTAATCACTAGAAAGAGAAACAGTCGAAAATGTATAAGAAACGATATTACTCGAAGGTGGTAAATCTTTTATTCCTAATAACTTTTTATTTTTATTAGTGCATAACTTCACCTACTGTGTGTACTTTTGAAGTTGAATTACATACAAATTGTGACCTAACCTGAAATGCATTTGGTATTTCTTGTCTCAATCTTATTTGACTGAAAATATTTTCTAACGTATCTTGTGATAATTTTCGTGTATAGGTACAAAAATTTACTACCTCTAATGTTTAAAAACTACATACTTCTGAAGATCGAAAATAGTTTTCGTTAACAAAATTAAATTTGTTGGTACTGGTTTCCAATTCTGATATTTTTAAATAAAATAATAATATTTTGCAAAAATTTCAGGTGTTTTTTTTTATTCACGTAAATTAGATTTACTAGTAGTCGAAATTTCACGTCAAGACGTCATGATATGGAACCATTGACTTAAAATTTTGATAAACGAAGCAGTAGTCTTATCTTAGCAAGTACTAGCCCCGCCCACCCACCCTTTGTTTTCTTAGGGGTATGGCATCTGCAAAATCACTCTTATCTTAGCAAGTACTACTTTATTTTCTAGAGGGTATGCCATTTGCCAAAATCAGTCTTATTTTGGCAAATACTAATCCCACCCACCCGCTCTTTATTTTCTTTGAGGGTATGCCTTTTTATCTCGCGTATGTTCTCTGATCTTTTCTGTCTTAGTCATTCTTTTTTGTGGCGTTTAGTTGTCACTTGTTTATTTTTATTTTCCCACATTTTTGTTTCATTTGTTTTCTTAGAAGATATTTCATTGAGCAAAATCAGTCTTATTTTAGCAAGTAATAGCCCCGCCCACCCGCCCTCTATTTTCTTAGAGGATATGAGATTTGCCAAAATTTGTCTTATCTTAGCAAGTACTAGTCCCGCCCTTTATTTTCTTAGAAGGTATTTCATTTGCCAAAATCAGTCTTATCTTAGCAAGTCCTAGGCCCACCCACCCGCCCTCCGTTTTCTTAGAGGGTATATCATTTACCAAAATCAGTCTTATCTTAGCAAGTACTAGGTCCGCCCACCCGCCCTCTATATGCTTAAAGCATATGACATTTGCCAAAATCAGTTTTATCTTAGCAAGTACTAACCCCATCCTTTATTTTCTTAGAGGGTATTTCATTTGCCAAAATCAGTCCTTATCTTAGAAAGTACTAGCCCCGCCCACCCACCCTTTTTTTTCTTTTTTTTTCATCTTCTATCGCCTTTTTATCTCACGTATGTTCTCTGATCTTTTGTGTCTTAATCTTTCTTTTTTGTGGCGTTTAGTTGTCACTTTTTTATTTTTATTTTCCCAGGTTTTTGTCGCATTTATTTTCTTAGAAGGTATTTCATTGAGCAAAATCAGTCTTATCTTAGCAAGTACTAGCCCCGCCCACCCTCCCTTTATTTTCTTAAAAAGTAGGTCATTTACCAGATCAGTCTAGTTTTGTCAAGTACTAGCCCCGCCCACCCGCCCTATATTTAATTTTTCTATTTTAGCCTATGGTCTAAAATAGCGACGTCTGTATCACATAAAAATTGAAGCCTTGCTTTAACATCAAAACTTATTAGATTACATGCCAAAGAGACTTTAATTTGTGTTAAAATGATTCAGATTGTACAGATCACTACTTAATTTGGGTACCATTTTTAACTCGAAATTTTCTTGAAATTCCACAAAATCCGAATATATTTAATGTTAACCTCACTGCTTGGTAATGCATATTTAACAACCAATTCGTCCGGCAAGCCGAATACAGGGTTTCTATAAATGATTATAGAATCGAAGTAGGTCATGGAAACGTGCCGCCTATCACTTTATATGAACTTTAGTAAATTCCCAAGGACTTCCGACAAATACCACACGCATCTGTATAACTGGTTGCCTAAACACTTCACATGTTATTAAAAAATAAAACTAATTAATTAATCATTACAATAAAAAGGAACAAAGTTTTTTATTTAAGTGCATTTGTAATCACTTCCTTTATTCCAAATTTACCTACAATCACCAGTTTGTGATTAATTTTTAAATTCTCTAAAGTTAAACTGTTCATTTTTTCTTTTAAACAATAAATTTCGTCTCATTTGCGGTAACAATTGTTTTTCAATGGATAATAAATTTTGAAACTTGATATTTTTTCATTAATTGTTTCTTCTGGACTGATGATTTTAAATGGAGCTTTATCTTTAAAACCTTGAGCTTCAAAATATTTAGGTACAGCGTTCTCTTCCAAAGCGTATATTTTCAACTTAGATGGTGCTAGGTTAGAGCAATGAGGTGCTAGCTTTTGAGTAAAATTCCCCCGTTGACGAACTCGATGCGGTGGTGTTTGTTTTTACCCTTACCTTGCACGAGGGTGTAAAATTTACGAGTTGCGATTTTTTAAGAAAAAAAGCTTAAACTGAAGTCGGGATGATTTTTAGGAGGCGAAGCGGATTTATAACAAGTTGGAGGAATCAAGGGCTAAGGTATTTTCGAAATTAAAAAATCCCGCTTTCCGTCCACGTCAAAGACAAGCAAGGGTGAAATCCCCAGCTCCCCCTGGACCGGCCCTGTCACCTCCACCCAAATGTGCCCACCCTCCCGCACCCAGCGCCGAACCACTCCACTATCGATTTGCTTTCAGCTTCCATTTCCGATAGATACTCTGTTTCGTTTACGACTTTCAGTTTTCAGTATTCTCTCTTGCGGAACTAATTAAACCGCTGAATAATCTCCGATTTAACCGCGGTCCCTTTTTATTTTTCGTCGAGGGCCACTATTCGGCAGACGCCGCCCCCGGCCCTACGAAACTAAAACGCGAAACGTGGAAACTCACCAATGCAAACAGGTTTTATTCCTCTCCTTTGATTTTCTGGATTGAACTTGTAGCCGGAGTAGCACGTGCAGATGACGCGCTGTAAATATACGGTACAAAGCTGCTCGCACAGGCCCATGGAACATGGGTCTTCAGTTTTCGGCACGCATCTGAAACATGGGGCGGTTAGTTAGTAGAGTTGCGGAATTTAATGTCGGAAAGTTTAACAAGGGCCTACTCTAACTCAAAATATTCTCGATCGCAATTTCGTCTTCAAAAAATGTATAATTATCTGAAATTATTGACGACTCGATCTCACGAGGAATATTCAACGTGACTTTCCGTTTACCGAACATTGACTTGAGAACTGCTAAACATTAATTAAAATTTATTTATTCATTCCCTCCGGAAAGTTGATGAAGGCATCTTGGAAGGTAATTAAATAAATCTTTGCAAAAAAATACGCAGGGAGGTTTTATATTGCTTTTGCCTTGATAATTTCTTATTTTCGCGTCCAGAACGAGAGCTATGGAAAGCACTGAATTAAAACAAGAAATTAGACGTTCTGGCAAATTCCTGCTTCGATTTGTTTTTCTGGAAGAAATTTGTGCTCGTGAAAGCTTGGAATATAGTTATTGTGAAGTCTTGAGTACTTATTAAAATCTGTCTGGTGGTTCCTTCGAAAAATTGATGACGTCATCTCAAAGTAAAACTTCGTTTGCATAAGACGTTCCAAAAATTTGTATTTATATCGTCATCTGAGAATTTGTTTGATCTACAAGTTAGTACATCTTCGGATGTCTCAATTTTTCAGTATTTCAATTTTGGGCTTTTTCAATTTTTACATTCATCAAATTTTCGATTTCTCGATTTTTCAAATTTTGACATTTCTAAATTTTCAGTTTTCCGATTATCTTTTTTTATTGATCCATTTCTCGACTTCTCAAAGTTTCGATTTTTCACTTCTTCAATTCTTCAATTTTTCGATTTTTCAGGTTTTTGGTTTTTCAATTTTGTTCTTTTGTTTTTCGATGTCTCAATTTTTTAAGTTCTCAGTTTTGGGAGTTTTCAAAATTTCGATTTTTCGACTTTTCCATTTTTGGACTCCTGGATCTTTTGATTTCCCGATTTTTCAATTTTTCGATTTTCAATTTTTCGTTAAACTTTAGAATTTTCGATTCTTCGACTGTATTATGCTTCAATTTTAAAACTCGTAAGTTTTCGATTTCTGGAGTTTTCAGTTTTTCTTTATTTCAATTTTTAAATTTTCGATTTTCCAATTTTCCTTTCGATTTTTCAATTTTTCAATTTTTAACTTTTTTTCTCGGCTTTTTGACTTCTGAATTTCTGAATCTTCTGATTTTTTGAATTCAATGTGCCAGGTTTTGAATTTTTCGTTGGTTCGATTTTTTGATTTCTCGGTTTTTCAATTTTTTGATTTTCAATTTTTCGTCAAACTTTCGAATTTTCGATTCTTCGACTGTATTATGCTTCAATTTTAAAACTCGTAAGTTTTCGATTTCTCGAGTTTTCAGTTTTTCTTTATTTCAATTTTTAAATTTTCGATTTTCCAATTTTCCTTTCGATTTTTCAATTTTTCAATTTTTAACTTTTTTTCTCGGCTTTTTGACTTCTGAATTTCTGAATCTTCTGATTTTTTGAATTCAATGTGCCAGGTTTTGAATTTTTCGTTGGTTCGATTTCTTGATTTCTCGGTTTTTTGACTTTTCGATTTTTCAATTTTTTAATTTCCCAGTTTTTGGATATTTCCTTCGATTTTGTGATGTTTCAGTTTTTCGATTCTTCAATTTTTCTTCTATTTTCAGTTTTTCGATATTTCACCTTTGGGATATTTTCTCGACGTTTTACTTTTTGGATTTTCAATTTTTCGTTTTTTAAACTTTAGACTTTTCAATTTTTTGACTGTTTTGTACTTCAATTTCTCAATTTTTCAACTTTTCGATATTTTAAATTTCAATTTTTAAAGTTTTAGTTTTCTCGATTTCTTCAGTTTCAGTTCTTCTATATTGCAATTTTTCAAATTTCGGAATTTTTAATTTTTTGATTTTCGATGTTTCGAAATATAATGGGGCAAAAGCGAAAAATCGAACTAGTTAAAAATGGAGAAATTGATAAATAGAGAGATCAATCAAAACATCGAAACATCCGAATCTCGATAGAGATCTCAAAAAATTGAAAAATCGAAAATTTTAAAATTCAGAAAACTGAAAAATAAAAATATGGAACTGAAAATTCGAGAAATCGAAGTCTAAAATTTTAAAAATTGAAAATTTAAAATAACGAAAAGTTGAAAACGTGAAAAATCGAAACACAACAATCGAAAAATTGAAAAATCTAAACGAAAAGCTGAAAATCCAAAAAATAAAAATCGAAAATTCCATAAGTCGAATTTTTTAAATTTTCCGATTTTCCTTTCGATCTTTCAATTTTTCAATTTTTAACTCTTTTTCTCGGCTTTTTGACTTCTGAATTTCTGAATCTTCTGATTTTTTGAATTCGATGTCCCAGGTTTTGAATTTTTCGTTAGTTCGATTTCTTGATTTCTTGGTTTTTCAATTTTTTACTTTTGGGGTTTTCAATTTTTCGATTTTCCAGTTTTTCGATGTTTCGATTTTCCAGTTTCTCGATGTTTCGATTTTTCAGTTATTAGATTTTTCATCCGATTTTTCAATTTTTTAAATTCTGGAGTTTCGATTTGTCGATTTTTTGATTTTTCAGTTTTTCGGTATTTCTATTTTTCAATTTTTCAAATTTTGACGTGCTAGATTTCTCAATTAATCTATTTTTAATTTTCTCATTGCTCGAAGTTTAGACGTTTCAGTTCTTCAATTCTTCGATTTTTCGTCTTTGCTTTTCGGTTTTTCGATTTCTCAACGTTCAAATTTTTTAATTTCTCAATTTTTGGATATTTCGTTCAATTTTGGAATTTTTTAATATTTCGATTCTTCGAATTTTCGATTTTTCGTCTTCTGGATTTTTCGATTTTTTATTTTTTGGATTTTAAGTTTTTCGTTTTTTAGACTTTAGATTTTTTAATTTGTTGACTGTTTTATGTTTCGATTTCTCAATTTTTCAACTTTTCGATATTTTAGTTTTTCAATTTTTAAAACTCGAAGTTTTTCAATTCCCTCGAATTTTCAGTTTTTCTTTATTTCAATTTTTAAATTTTCGATTTTCCAATTTTCCTTTTTCAAAATTTTTCAATTTTTTAATTTTTAACTTTCTTTCTCTTTCCTTTTTTTGACTTCCCAATTTCTGGATATTCTGAATTTTCGATTTCGATGTCTCAGTTTTTAATAATAATAATAATAATAATAATACTTTATTTTTGAATTTTTCCATGTTTCGATTTTTTATTTCTCGTATTTTCAATTTTTCGATTTTCCAGTTTTCCGATGTTTCGATTTTTCAGTTATCCGATTTTGAATTTTTCAATTTTTTAAATTCTGGGGTTTAGATTTCTCGAGTTTTTGATTTTTCAGTTTTTCAGTATTTCTATTTTTCAATTTTTCAATTTATGACGTCGCTAAATTTTTAGTTTTTCGATTTCTCAATTAATCTATTTTTGATTTTCCTATTGCTCGACTTCTCAAATTCTGATTTTTCATTTCTTCAATTCTGCGATTTTTAGATTTTTCGTCTTTGATTTTTTGGTTTTTCGATTTCTCAATGTTCCAACTTTATGATTTCTCCAATTTTTGGATATTTTTTTCAGTTTTGCAATATTTCCATTCTTCGAATTTTCGATTTTTCGACCTCCGGATTTTCCGATTTTTCGATTTTTAATTTTTTGGATTTAAAGTTTTTCGTTTTTTAAACTTTATATTTTTCAATTTTTCGACTGTTTCATGTTGAAAAACAATTTGGAAAATCCAAAATTTAAGAATCCCGAAAATTGAAAAACTGAAATATAGAAGAACTGAAAACTGAAGATATCGAAAAACCTAAAGTTTTAAAAATCTAAAGTTTATAAAACGAAAAATTGAAAACAAAAAATAAACCGTCGAGAAATCGAAAAATCCAGAACTCAAAAAAATCGAAAGTCGAAATACTAAAATATCCCAAAACTGAAATTTCGAAAAATGAAAAATAGAAGAAAAATTGAACGAAATATCCAAAAACTGGGAAATTAAAAAATCGAAAAAAAAACGAAAAACTGAAAATCCAAAAAACAAGAAATCTAAAAATCGAAGATTATTCGAAGAATCGTAATATTAAAGAATTCCAAAACTGAAAGAAATATCCAAAAATTGAGAAATTAAATAACTGGAAAATTGAGAAACCGAAAAATCCAAGAATTGAAAAACTGAAAAATCGAAACTTGGAAAAGTAAAAAAGCAAAGTGTAAAAAACGAAAAACTGAAAATCCAAAAAATACGAAATCGAAAAATCCAGAAATCAAAAAATCGAAAATTCGAAGAATCGAAATATTAAAAAATTCCAAAACTGAAAGAAATATCCAGAAATTAAAAAAATGGGTAAAATTGAGAAACCAAAAAATCCAAGAATGGAAGAACTGAAAAATCGAAACTTTGAGAAGTCGAGAAATCCAAAAATCCAAAATTTGAAACATTGAACAATCAAAATATCTCAAAACTGAAAAACAACAAACATAAAAAATCAAAAAATAAAAATTCGAACACTTAGAATTTCAAAATCGAAAAGTGAAAAATCGACAAATTTTGAAATTGAAACCTCAGAATTCAAAAAACTGAAAAATTGAAAAATCGGATAAATGAAAAGTGGAAACATCGAAAAATTGAAAAGCCCAAAAGTAAAAAATCGAAAAACTGAGAAATCTAAAAAGCGAAACATCGAAAAATTCGAAAACTGAGACATCGGGAAATCCAAAAATCAGACGATTAAAAAATTGAGAAGTCGAAAGCTAAGAAGACAAGTTAAAAATTGAAAAATCGAAAAATTTTAAAAAGGAAAATTGGAAAATCGAAAATAAAAAAATTCGACTTATGGAATTTTCGATTTTTTATTTTTTGGATTTTCAACTTTTCGTTTTTAAAACTTTAGATTTTTCAATTTTTCGATTGTTTTGTTTCGATTTTTCACGTTTTCAACTTTTCGTTATTTTAAATTTTCAATTTTTAAAATTCTACATTTTTCGATTTCTCGAATTTTCAATTCTATATTTTAA